ATGTGGCATATTAGAAATAGGAGTTCTAACCATTCTTGACAGCTGGGTGGCAGTTATTCAGTGAAGGGAACATTACTGTCTGGGACAATATTGTTCTTCTTTCTGTGATGTGAACTAGGGAACCTTCAGTCTTCAACCTACCTATCACTATCCAGAAAAAAGTTTGACCCCTTTCATTCTCCACCTGCTGTTAACATGACAAGTGTGTCTTTGATTGCTAAAGGGTGGCCAATTCTATTACAATGATGACATAACAGAGTGGAAGCAGCCTGACTAGAGTATGTGTGTGTGTCTATATATATACACACACATATAAATACATATATGTATATATGTGTATATGTATATATATAAAATATCACATGCATGTATATGAAATATACATTACACACATATAAATAAAATATTATAAAATATCACATATGCAAAATATTACACATATATAATTATATACAATATATTATACACATAATATATATGACATTGCACATACACATATATATTTCTGTACTAAGTTTTGAAAGGTTAGTTGTGACTTCATGACAAGAAGAAAATTGATTTTTGAATCTTTATAGCATATGTTTATGGGGAAGAGGTGAAAAGATAATTAACATTGATTCTATAGTTCAACAAACACTTATGGAAGATCTATTCTGCAATCTATGTATCCTGGGATAGACTCTGGAAATTTATAAGTGAATAGAGTTTCATGTAGAGTAACCCCTATATTGGTTTGCCTAGAATTGAGAAAGTTCCCAGGATGCAGCACTCCCAGCGTTAAACCAGGAATGTCCTGGGCAAATTAAGATGAGTTGTTTATCCTATCTGTCCCCAAGGAGCTCATATGTTAGAAAGGAAGACAGTGAAACAAATATGTAGTTATCAAATAGTGTGGTGTGTGAAATAGGATAATAATGAGAGTTTACACTTCTATAGCTCCCTCTGTGAGCCAGGTAATGTTCAGAATAATGCCCATCTTAGTCCATTCAGGCGGCTTTAACAAACCAACATAAACTGGATAATTTATAAACAACAGGAATTAATTTCTCACTGTCCTGGAGGCTGGGAAGTTCAAGACAAAGGTGTCTGCAGATTCAGTGTCAGGACAAGGGATGCTTTCTGATTCACAGGCAGTGCCTTCTTGCTGTGTCCTCACATGATGAGAGGGGCTAGCTAGCTCCTGGGTGCTTTGGGGAGGCACAAATCCAAGCCACAAGGGCTGTGCTTTTATGACTTTACCACACCCAGAGGCCTCACCTCCTAATACCATTAACTTGAATGTTAGGATTTCAACACATGAATTTGGCGGGGGGTGGGGGGGCACAAGAATTCAGTACATTGCATTGCATTGACATCTATTAACTTCTTGAATTCTATAATAGTCATTTTGAAGGAAGGATTGTTATTATCTCCATTTTACATATGTAAGAAATTGAGGTATTAGTAAAAGGTAGATATGGGATTCAAATGCAGGCACTCTGGGTCTGTATCTGAGTTCTTAACCTCCAAACACTTTTCTCAAGAAATCCAAGACCTAGAAATAAAACAGAGGAGTGAGTGGTTGACTTTTTGGGTGAGAGGAGAAGATCATGGGAAAAGATGTTGTGGGGAAATGGGTCAGAGAAGGTGATGCCTGAAAAGGATTTGAAACGAGAAAAGAGAAATTGATGAGCAAGGATAGATAAGGGCATTCCAGGCATAAGGCTACAATGATGAGAAAGGTCATGGTGTGGCTGTTAGTCAGGGCCAGAGCATGGGGGAATGGAAGTCCTCTGGATGAAAGTCCTCTGACCTTTGACACACGGTGGAACACTTTGTAGACAATGCTGAGACTTTGGGGAAGAAACCTGGAGAGATAAAGGGGCCAAATCATCCAGGGCCTCTCACATACAATAAGGAACACATATTTTAACTTGGGCACAACAGGAGAGCACCAGAGATCCTTATGTGATGGATATGCCAATTATCCTGATCTGATCATTGCACATTGTATACATATATTGAAATGTCATACTGTACCCTATAAATAGGTACAATTAGTATGTGTTGATTAAATATACACACATATTTTAAAAGTTGAAATTTGCATTTTTAGAGAATTACTCTGGTAGCAGCCAGAAGATTATCAAAAGGAAAGAAGTGTGATAATGGTAGCAGAGAATAATCAAGTTCAGATCTCTTGAAAATGTCCCATGAACAGGGACAGAGAGGGCTAGACAAATTTAAAAGATGAACAAAATAGACCAGACTTGGTTAGTGATTGGATGGAGGGGCTAAAGTGATCAAGAAACCTGAAGATAAATTCTGTGAGCCTTGTTGGTTGGCTGGGTGCATGATGGGTTCACCAATAATGGGGAAAAAAAAGGAATATAGCAGGAAATGTGAATTTCAAAGGGGAAAGGATAGTGGGTTTGGCTTTCCACATGTGACTCTTAAAGACCTATTAGAACAATTTATCGGGCATTGTTTAATTCAAGTATTCCATAAAAAGAAGGAAATAGCTTGTCCTAAGGACTTCCTACTTTTCTGATTGAGAGTGAAATAATAATTGTAAAGGAAGTTCTTAGAGGCAAGTATGAAGTAAATAGAAAGTCTAATAATTAATATCATAATAATTCAACATCCTTTGGGGTGCCCTTGAGGTAAAAAACATTAATACATTCATTTATGATATCAGTGGCTTAATTTGTTATTCCTTGTAAGAATGTTTGTATTTTGTAAAAGAGCAATACCTGACAGGATCCCTAATTAAAGTATTTCGGGTAACCAAATCCTAAATGTGAGACAGTGTCTTTGGCAAATGAGGCTTCTAGATCATCTCAACTCATAGTACATTTATAGCTTTCAATTCCATGTGCAAGAGTGTGGGGGTAATTTGAAGAACTAGAAGTTGCCATCAGTTCTATACATGGATTCTACCTACACATGAACTACTCCCTGAAAAATACTTACATATTTTTTTCAAAACATTGGAGACCGTTAGAATTCTGGAATCTTAAATATAGGAAAAAAGCTATTACTGAACTACTTTGAAAAATAATCCTGATTATTTGCATATTCACCTATTTATTTGATTATCTATTGATTATTCAATTATTTACCTATTTATTTGAATTCTATTTTTAGATTTGTTCTCTCCTGATCACGCTTCCTTCTGAGTGTTCTATATCCTTTAGATGGGGCATACAGCCCTTCATCCCTACATACACTCTCCTCTGAGGCTCTGTATTCAGGATTATCAGCATGAAGGGGCCCATCTTTAGCTGATCCAACAAGGGTAGGTATTCAGGAAAGTGATCACAAAATGATTTTATGTAATAAGACAATAATTTGTTTTTCATAGCTTATACTAATCAGTTATGCAAGCATTTAATGTGACTAAGCTTGCTGCAAAGAAAATCAAAGAAAATGCCCAATTACTGGAAAAGAGGCTTCCCCACCCCCACCCTTCATGCTCCACTTGCATTCTGATGAATAGTCTCTGGATTAAAGTGCATTGACAATGACCTTCATTGCCTAATGCACACTTTAACAAAAGAGGTTATAGTGGTAGCTTCTGGATACGTTAATTGAGTTTAGCATGTCTTCTTTGAAATTATCAGGGATGGAGGGAACAGAGGGATAGAGATCCAGGAAAGGCTAAGGGAATTTCTCAAAAACACAAAATAAGTCTGGGACTTGGAAAAAGTGCCCCACTATCTTGACATCTCTCCCATCCCCTAACCAGGAGGTAATTTTATCTCCTTCCTGTTGGAACACCATCAATAGTGAAATAGCCAAATAACATGGGAGAATGATCCTACTCTTTGATTGAGTGTCTAGGGATCCTTTCTACAAGGCAAAACTTCACCCATCTCTGGGATTTCCTGGCTTTGGTTTTTATTTAGAGAATCATGCTGCTCTCTGTTCTAACATCATCCATCTTTGTCAGCACCCAAGGCCACAACTTCATTGGAATGGCCTGTGACGTATGGCAGATACAGTGCACAAAGACATTGAACTCTATATGATGTTTATATGGACTCTCAGCTCACCAGAGATGGATTGATGCTGCCATAAAGTTTTGTGGTATCCAGGCTAGGCAAAGACTGAGGAAACTGGTTGAGGGAGGGTAAGAAAAGCAATATCTTTCTCCATTCACTTTACCCCTCTAAGAAGTTGGCTTACATCATATTTAGGAAATGAAGAAGTCAAGTGAGTATGAGGATTTTTGGAACCCAGCACAGAAGCAGACTCACCCTTGATTATCAATGGTATTCCCTTTGGCTTTTCCAGGCCAAGAACAAGCACTTAAGAGTAGAAAGACACTTAAAATATCCTGCTTTGTGCCTAGTGCACCCTAGCAACCATATTAATGGAATAAAGGCAAAACTTAAGGAATGCAGATGTGGAAGTGGCAGTGGGTCAAGCAAGAGTTTGGATGCATGTCCATTGTGTGCATCCTCAGCATCACCATCATGATGTTATTAATGGGCATGCTCACCCAGGATGGACAGAATGCTGGCATTAAACTCTATATGCCCATCCTGCAAACTGGCTATAAGATACCAGTATGCCTGGGTTTAAAGTCAGGATTATCAGCATGAAATTACCCATCTTTACCTGATCCAATAGGTGTAGGTATTCAGGAACCTGATTAGAAAATGACTTTATATAATAAAACAGTAATTTAATTTTCATAGCTTATGCTAATCAGTTATGCAAGCATTTAATATGATTAAGCTTACTGCAGAGAAAAATCAAAGAAAATAACCAATTATTAGAAAAGGGGCTTCCCTACCCCCACCCTTCACGGTTCACATGGAAGTGTATGTGCTATTGCAGACCACTGTGTCTGTGCTTGGTTGCATCCTTCATGGACTGCCTGCAGCTAACTTTGGAAGATGCAGATTTTTTTTAAAGCATTTAAACCACAGCAATAAAAACACATTTAAAAAATAATCAGTGACTAAGAAAGCCTCACGTTCACATGAAAAAAGACAACAATAAATTTCACTTACCAGTTTAGGTTGTTCCAGGCAGCAGAGGAACAAGTTGTTGGTAATTGTCCAGTGCTTTCATTCAATAAATCACATTGGCTTTGCTTTCTCCTGTGGCTCAGCCTCTGCGTAAAGCAAGCGAACCTCCTTCCTATTCTGTGTAAAGAATAAAACGCGAACAGGATCACTACGGGCAAGAGCTGAAGTCCATGATCACTAAGCTACTATTAATGCAAAATAAAAGAGCAAATGATGCACAGGGTGAGAAGGGGAGAGGGAAACAGCTTGGCTCAGAATCTAGGTGTATTCTTGGGACTGCAGCCTGGGAAAGGCTTGTGTGCGTGTAGTTAAAAGATGCCATGACTTCAGTGTGTTTAGCCTATCCTATCTGTGAGGACCACTCGGAACAGCATGCAAGAACAACAAGCTTCATGTCAAACAATGCTGACTCTGAACTGGATGTCGCTCCAGGGTACAGGGAGTCAGACAGTTAGCTTTGTACTTTATCAATGGCAGGGAAAGAATTACCACCTGGCATCCAAGAGCCTGTGAAGAGATCTGTGGCTATAGCTCTTCTGGGGCCAGCCCCTTAGTTCCACAGCTGCCTGGGACCAGAAGCACACAGGTGGCAGCACATCTCCTCAACACGGGGCACCCATGCATGTTCCCAGTAAGAGTAAGGGGATCCCTTAAGGAAGCTCTAAATCCAGTCGGGGCTGTTCAACCTAGTCTTAGGTTTCTGTCTAAGCAGGTCTGAGAAAGTAGTCGGTAGACCTGGCACTTAGCACCAAGAGGCTCAGTCTCAGGCAGAAGATTACAGTGCTGCTTCTGTGCCAGCCACAAATGGGTGTACCTGCCTTCTTTCACAGTGTTATGCTTTACATGACTAATGAAACACAAAATATATTTCCTAGAAAGCCACATGTAGGCATTTTGGGTTTTTTCTCCCTGAAGTAAGATGCCAAATGACCATCTCTGGCTGTTGATTATGTCAGGGATGCTTTGCTGATTAAAATGCATATGAATACTGTGCACACACACATGCACCTCCATGCATGAATACACACACACACACACACACACACACACACACCCCACAGCCCTAGCAACAGCATTAAGAATCTTTCTGAAGCTCTATTCAGATACTGTCTCTGCCAAATGAATGCTTAGCTATTATGATGACTTCAGGGATAATTTTGGACTCTTTTACTAGGTACTGAATCTGGTCTGTTATTTATACCTGGAGCCAAATCAACTCCTAAATTTCAAATGTGACTCTATGGCAAATCAAGAGAAAGTTTCTTGGTTATAAGCAAGAGGGTGGAGTGGTAATATTTGGCCTGATAATTTCTTAGAATCCTGGGAATGGCATCTTGTATTCCTGAAAATTTCCTCCTTTCTAGATATACCACCTGGCCCCCAACTCCCCCCAGCAGCTCATTTGCTCCAGCAGGTGGCTGCTCTGGAGCTGGGTTCGGAGTTGCAGCTCAGTGACTTAGAAAACCTGGGGGTCCAAAGGAAGAGCCAATTTAGCTTTTTAGAACTGTCTTACTTTTTCTGTTCATATTAGAAAGGCGAAAATCTCCTTCTGGAACATTTATTCTTTCTTTCCTTGGACTTATCTGTCCTGTTGGAATTGCTATGAATAATCTAATTTGGGAATATTCTTGCCCTTGAGATTCAGAAGGCAAATTTCTTTCCATCAAGGATTAAGAAAGGGCCAGTCTACCCTTTCATACCTTATGCCTAAATGGTTTCTAAATAAAAACATTCACTCTACTTTCTAAAAAAATCTTTGACTTCAATGCAGATTTACATATGTTCTGTCTGCTAGGGTGAGCCAGGTGACTCTGAGTGACTCTTAAGAAGGTCAGGGTCTACCTAGAGGGGTCATGAGTTCAATCTGATATGGAAATCTAAGGGGACAATGCCTCTGTGACAGCACCACTCCCTGGAGCAAATATGGGTTGAGCATAGTTAATCTAAAATCTGATATCCAACCAAAATGCTCCAAAATCCAAAACTGAGTGCTTACATGATACCACTGGTAGAAGATTCTGCATCAAAAGTTTCATGCACAAAATTATTAAAACAATTGTATACAATTACCTTCAGGCTGTGTATATAAGGTATATATGAAACAAATGAATTTTGGGTTTAGAGTTGGGTTCCATTCTCAAGATATCTCATTATGCATATGCACGCATTCCAGACTACAAAATCTGGGACACTTCTGGTCCAAGCATTTTGGACAAGGGCTACACAATCTGCACTAAAGTCTCAGTCAAAAAGCCCAAGCTCATTGCAAAGGAGATTCATTCCTTCATCCATTCATTCACTAATCCATTCTTCAACAGACGTTTATTATGCATTTAGTAGATGTGATAGTGTGTCAATGTGACATTAAAACCTACTGAGAAAGCATAAAATCCTTGGTGTAACTTAGTCAAACTCTGTAGTCTGATCCTGCTTACCTTTATAGCCAAATCCCTCATCTCCTTCCTACTTACTTTCCTTGTGGTAGACTTTTTGAATATTCTGCAGTTTCTTAGACATGCCAGATTCATTCTTAATGCCAGATCATCACAGATGATGTTCTTCTACTTGGGTGCTGAGTGAGCTTTGTCTGACTTCACTCTTGGGCAGCTTTGGTGTCTTGGCTTAAATACTACCTCCTAAGGGATATTCTCCTAGCCCTTGGTGTATTCAGTTCCTTGCTTTGTGGCTGGAGATTGTGACACCTGATGCTCTCTGTCAGTGTATCCATCACATTTTATTGCACTTGTATGGTATCAGCCATCTCCATTATATTTTAAGAGTTTAAGTGCAAAGTCTCTTATTCACTGCTATTTCCATTGTGTAGCAGAGTTCCTGGCACATAGAAAACATTCAGTCAATATTTAGTATTTTGTGGAAGTGCCTAGTATGTATTTATTGAATGAATGAATAAACCACCTCAAATAATAAGGAGGGTCTTAACCTTACAGGAAACTTAAAGTTCTCTTGGTATGTGTACTTTTTTCTTACCAAGTGGCCATCCACTGGAAGTTTGCCTCCTCTAGTCCTTCTCAATGAATCTCAGCCTTTACTGATCATGTCCTTACTTTTTCCCCCACTCCCTAGCACTTTTACAGCATGTTCTTGTTTTGTGTTCTCCAGCTGTTTCCTGAAGTGTGTCTCATCTCTACAAACTGGTATTCTCCTTAACTCCAAGCATAAGCCTATAATTATGTGATGTTTGATTCATTGAACAGCAAACATTTGAACAGGTAGTTAAGTGATCAGAATCTCCTTTAGGAAGACTTCTTTAGTAATTACTACAAAAACAGACATGGGATCGAGAAGCAGCTTTGCCCTTTCTTTCCTCCCTCTCCCTCCTTGCCCCTCCTTCCATGTCATAACACCAGTGTTCTCATTGGGAACACAGAGAATGTTTTATCCATCCATATTCTGAACTTCCCCTCCACCTAGTTCCACCCCCACAGCTATTTCACTTGCTTATGTTATTTGTGATGGTGTCTTGGTGATTATATTAAAATATCCTTTGAAGAAAGGGATTGCATTTTATTTTGTATCTTTCTCCTACATTCCTTATACTTCTTGGCCTAGTGCCTCACAGATAGTAAGTGCTCAATGAATGCTAAGAAAGTCAAACATTTATTTTGTGCAAAGCATTGGATGAGGGAATATGTTGGGGATTCCAAGAGGAATGAAGCATCTTCTCAAAGACAAAAGAGTTCCAACTGATTTTAAGGTAGAATTAAATAAGTACCATTAAAAATGTCTGAGCAAAGTGCTAAGGGAACTTAAAAGAATTACTACTTCCTTCTGGAATGCTTAGGGAAGATTCACAGGGAAGGTTGCATTTGAACTGGATGTAGAGGAATGAAGACTTCTGGAGGTTGAAGAGAAGCCAAGTTGAGGCAACAAGGTCTTGACCATTTGGAGAAAACAAGTAGTCCAATGCACTGGAATGGAATGAATGAGCTGGGATGATCGAATGGAGCTTGTCTCAAAGTAAGTAGATCAGATTGAGGAGGGCTTGCATGCTGTGTTAAAGGATTCTATACTGTAGGTGACAGGAATTTGAGCAGGAGCATGTCAGTGCTGTTGAGTAAGAGCCCTCTGGTCTGGCCTTTGTGGACAATGAGCTGAAGTGGTACGAACCTGGAGGCAGGAAGACACTGATGGAGGCCTTTGGAAACATAAATTAGGAGATGCAAATAGGATACATTTTGGAGGTAAAATTTACAGGACTTGTCAGCAGTACAAGTAGGAGTAGGAGAGGATGAGAGAACTAGAAAGAAGTTGAGGTGACTTTTAAAGTTTTAACTCGTGTGATGGCAGATAATGGTAACATTGATGATCCCAGGACATGTCCATAAAGACAGTTTGGGCATTTGTGATAGAGTCTGTGCATTTTTGAAAGACAGAGATCAGGGAGCTGAGTTCTTGGGGCTGCAAGGATTTGTCTTAGACTGCCTTGAAGAAGTCAGTCCAGGCCAGGCCAGACAAGTCCAGGCCTTGAGAAACATGTGAGGCCATTTGAAAGGGGACTAGATGCTGGTTTTGCTGGAAAGAGGACTTTCTCATTTAATGTGAGAGTTTGCAGTTTCCCCTTGGAGTTGGTTCACTCAGTGGAAGAAACTTGGGACTGGGAATGGGGGGTTTGAGCTTGGGTCCTGGTGCTGCTTCTCATCCACTGTGTAACCTTGGGCAAGTTATTGTTTATCATTAGGCCTCAATTTTCTCACTTGTAAAATAAGGGAGTTGGACCAGTTAAATTCAAAGGTTCCTCTCAGTGTACTGTTCTCTGGTTTAGAATTTCAGAATACTTGTGAAATGAGGCCAAAGCTATTATCACCAATACCAGAACCCAGTAATGTCCACTTTCTGTTACAAAATCCTGCCCATATTTTGAAAATGTCCATATATCATAGCAAATGCATATCTGCCCTTCAGTTAGTTACATGCGGTTTGTTTCTAAGACATAAATTAAATTGATCACTTTTTGATGACTATTTTCTAACAATTTTTCACTTCTTTAAGGGAGTACCTTTTCATCAGAATCTCAAAATTAAATTATGAGAAGAAAGCTGCAGTCCCTTACTGTGGTCAGCAAAGAGTCCAGCCAGCCTACTTCCGTCCTCTAATCT